AGGAGGAGGAGGAGGAGGAGGAGGAGGAGGAGGAGAAGAAGAAGATGAAAAGAAACAAAGGAGATGGATAATAGATCTTCTGACTTAGCCCAATATGCACAATGCACTCCATATTCACCTGAACTATTTCTCACTTATTAAGCCCTGGAACATAAGGGCCAAATACAAATGATTATGGTGATAGTGAAGCCATGCAAACATACAATATTTCAAATATTATGAATTGTTTTTAGGGCTATATTATATGTCACACGAGTTGAATAACTAGATATTAAATTCCCAAGGAAACATCATGAATTCATCCAATTTTAATCACATTAAAAACATATTTGAATATACAACTGGCATTTGAGATTAATTTTATAGAAAGTAACTCTTACAAATATAACAAAAATGAATAAAAATATTAATAAATTAACAGATCTCAGCTTTATTAACAATGAAAATAAAAGAAACTACATCTTCTATTGACCAATTTACTATATAATTACCAAATATGGTCAAAGATCATTGGCATATCTCTAACAATAACAAAATAAAACACAGGATTGCTTCCCACCTTCTGAAGCGTATGTCCCTCTGATACGAATTGCTGTAAGATTTGCCAAAACACTCATGAAATCACGAGCAGAAAGACGAGGTTGCCATCCATATTGCGAACTTTCATGTAAACGGAATTTATATTCTTGAGGCTAAAACAAAGAGTACTATAAGCATATGTTTAACAGTTCAGATCAACCAAATAGACATCAATGTCCTAACAAAATAATCACAAGCTTCTTTCAGGCTGATTTCTTAGAGTTGAAAATATACTACAAAGCACATTAATAGAGAAGCAGACACATGTGAAAAATATTACTCAGAATCTCACACATTATAGAGACAAATACAACTTTCACTGATGACCTACAATTATTTTCAACAGGTTTAAATGTTTTTAATAGTCTAAAATTTTTAAGATGACATTATCTTACAGACTTTCTGTCAAGAACACAAACATTTCCATATACCAACATGAGCTTATGTTTTCAAAATTATTTTTAATTTTCTACCAAACAAAGAAAAATATTTCTGAACTGTTAACTGTCAAATCTTACTATTTACCATTTCCTATTTCACATGAAGCTATTTTGTATTGTATGTATATTAAATGTGGTGGCTCTGTGGCACAGAGCGAAGTCGCTCGCCTTTCACCAAAGAGGTCAGGGTTTGATTCCCATCAATTTCTGGACAATCTCATGCGAAATTCATTTTGACAAAACAAGTTTGCCTGCTACCCATGGGCTAGTCCAACCCCTGTAAAGTGGTCTAACCTCTACCCCTTTCCTAAATTCTTCCTAATTCTGGCTGTTGGATAGTGACGCAAGAACGTGTGGGAGACATGTATGTGGAGATGCTACCTGGCAGTCCCCTGGACAATGACGTAGTAAGACTTTATTAGTAACGGAGGATTACTCCAAGAATGCTCAATGCCCAAAAAGGGTTAGGAGAAATGTTGCATTGTGATGAAGATGCAACAAATGTATAATAATAATAATAATAATAATAATAATAATAATAATAATAATAATAATAATAATAACAGTAATAATAATAACAGTAATAATAATAACAGTAATAATAATAAAGGTTATTATTATGATTATGATTATTTAAAAAAGATTTTTCTAAATAATTCGGACTTTTGTTCATCTCCCTTACATTTAATTCCATTGGCTGCAGGAAAACTTTAAACTGAGCAAAATGCATTAATGGAATATGAGGGTGGATAATAATAATCCTGTATTGAATTGAAACACGACAGTGTTCTGACAATACCTCTTCTGACCTAAATTCATGACCTGTAACAATTCCAGGTTTGCAAATTATTTCCTGAGCCAATCAGTGGCATTTCTTACTGAAGAAAAGATGTATTTTTTTAAAATTTTTATTTAGGATCAAATGGAAATTCCAAATCAGTAAAACACTTCCTGCACAGGTATCCATACCTAGGAATTTATTATTGGTAATATAATATTAAGAGGGACACGCTGTTGGATTTTTCTCTGCCATCTGAAATGACTTGCCTTATATACGAAGGCTGTTCAAAAAGTATGCAAAATAAAACACTGAATTCATTTTTTTTTCAGTTGAATCTTCCAAATTGACATGCTCTTTTTCAAAGTAGCCTCCCTCAGTACTAATACACTTTTGTTATCGTTTCTGCTACTTTTTGAACATGAATGCAAGGCCATCTTTCCTGGGCTCCTTGCAACGCGACCCCACAGCTCTGATGACCTCGTGATTGTCTTTCCGTCCTCTGAGCAGAAACTTGAGTTGAGGAAACAACCAAAGGTCACAAGGAGCCAAATCTGTCCGGTTCAGTAGATGGGGTACAGTTGTGATGCCTTGAGAGTTCAAGAAATCCACTACAATGTGAGCAACGTGTGGACAAGAACTGTCACAATGCGCAGCACTCATCTGTATGATACATGTCGCATGGTCAAATCATTGAGCACAATCGAAAAAGCGCTGCCAATTGAAATGTCTAAGACTGCAGCAAGCTCTATTAAGGTCGTTCGTCGATCTTTGTGAATAATAGTGGCATCTGTATTCTGTAGATCCTTGGAGCGAGACGTTGAAGGTTGCACCTCACACGGCTTGTCAGCGATGCTCTCTCTACCATTTTCGAATCCTTTATACCACTTGTAGGTCACCTGGTTCTTAACACCTTCACCGTAAATGTTAATCAATAACTCAGATGCATCTTTCCGGTTCTTCCCGTTAAAATGTTGCTCTAACTTTTCATCCATGCTAGACTTTGTAGGAGAAGATTTAACACCTGTTACATGAAGCGCTACATACGTTTACTCACTACACCTGTCAACTTAAAACTAAGGCTATTGTTGGCTACGTGAATAGGTTACACAATGGTATTTAGTGCTCGCACCATTCGCAACATATTTTCCCTCAGGGTCCCTATTATCATTAAGTTTTGAACAGTTCTCATATAAAGAATTGGTAAAAAAATAAATTTAATTTTCTTGCGACTAGTTGAAAAACATGTTTGACAAAATATTTATTCGTTATTTTTTCAGTTTTATACGTACCTGAACAGATGGTAAACGATTCCCTTGGCCGAAGATAGCCTGTGTTATACTTAAACCAGCTCCTTCTAAAACTACATCTTCTACACTGGCTACTGGACCAGCTTCTCCAATACGAAGCTTAAATGTGAAATCTTGATTATAACTTGCTCTCTGATCCCCCAAAAAGACATCTGTAAATGTAAATAAAAATAGTGTGCTTATACAGATGCATAATGGAAAATTACTTTGAAACTATAAACATTAGAAATAAACTGTAATCACTTATGCTCATCAAAACACATTACCTGGAGCCACAAAATAAATTGGATGTTTGTAGGGTGCCTTAACACCAATTACTTGTGTCACACTATTAAAAGCCAATGGTACATCTTTTCCATGATAATCCTGTGATTTCCAACGTTCAGTTCCCCGAGCAAAAATGCTTTCAATATAAACTCGAGAATAACCAGGAGCTGATGAACAAAGGGATGCATGGCCATAACAAAAACATGGTGTACAGCCAAAATCATTATCTTCATCAAGATTAAAATAACCTGGTTTACAACTGAAAAAAACAGGAAATAGGAATTTCACATGAAACACTCATTGTGCTCAATAAAATGGTACTACATGCAAAAATAAATATTATGATATCTAGAATAAATGTAGAATCAATAAGTCAAAATTAAGATACAGTTTGATCACCTTAAAATTACTATTTCTATTTAAATACAGAGAGAAATATAAAAGAAAACCAATTAATATTAAAGATCAAATGTAAATCTAGTAATTTGTTTGAACAAATTTAATTTTTTACTTGTACCAAGATGTACTAAAAAGACGAGGCCTCCAAGTACTATATGAGTTTTTGGTAACAGTTTTTAAAATCTGTAGAATGCAATCACTGTACGATTCTGTTCATCAATATAGTCACCAGCCCGAAAATTGGTCTGGATCTTCAAAGCACCTCTACCATTATACTAGACAAACTGGAGAGAGTAAGGTAGTAGTTGGCCATTGCTTCCCTCACACAGCCACAGAGCTACTCTGAAGCACCCTCCAGCCCTATGATACTTTAACCTTTCACAGCATGAATGCTGTTGTTACCAGTACCACCCATTCCCTCGGTAGCTTATTTATTGTACCAGCTACAATGTGGTATGCTATTGCTTTGTGGAAGATGAAAAAAATCCCAACTTTTTGTCCCAACTGGGAATCAAACCAAATTCCTTGTGCATGGAATGTGAGCGCTTTACTATAAGCCACACAGGAACTTCTGTACAGTTTTATTCAGAATAAATCAAAAAATGCTCTCCAAAATGTTTTTCTATTCTAATTTTCATACAATATATTTGATAATTTTATACAGTTTCCAACTGCTATCTTGAGTTATTTATTATATCTCACAATGACAGATCTGCTTTTCACAGCTAACTGAATTCAAATTAACTAATATAACTGTAAAGTAATAGACACATCAAATTATTAAGTTCTCTCTACAGTAATATATGTAACAAATACATTAATGTATGATAAACAGTTTATCATGGCAATCCTCTAGATTAGTGAAAGACTCTCTATTCATGGTTTTGTTTTCACAAACATGGTATTGATAAGCCCAGCTTTAGTACACATTTACTGTAAAATCGGGAGCATAGACTACCCACGCTCATAAAGCTCACATACAGCACATTGCCTAACCCTAACACAATGACTTTGCTACAACTGTTCTTTGGGAAATACTGCCAAACTGTGCAAAGCAGACAAGCTATCGAATACTAACTTAAACAGTATTGTGGGTTACCCAATCTCAACCTTTCCTAGCTTACTTTCAGGCCCAAAGGAGTCCAAATGTAAAATTATCATTTTTTTCTGCTTCACCTGAACAATAATTTAAAACATTCTGTAATGACACTTTTTAAAAATGCAAAATCTATTTTTAATGTACTTGGATAAGTAGTTTATTTCACTTGAACATAGCTTCACCCCTAAAATCATGAAATTTTTGGACAAGAATGTAATAAAATTTCCTGTTCTTCTCTTTCAAGCGTAATTGCTTCAATTATTGAAGTAAAAAGTTTTGGTAGAAAGTACAGATATGTTTAACAGGGTGAGGAAAAACCTCAAAATTTTTCTGTTATAATACAATTTCTTGTTCCTAGCAATCATTAAAGGTTTCTTAGCTCAAGCATTTTTATTTCATTACTCTATTAACTACATTGCCACAAATACTTTTACAACATCATCGTCCTCCAATATTAACATGAATGACTACAGAGAATTACACGTTATGCAATGGTTTCTAATTTATTTTCTCTAATGTTAATGATGTTCTTAGTAAAAGTATGTCAATTATAGAACAATAAAAAACACTCACAGTTTGTTTCTACAATACGGTAAATTATTAGTTTTATTTGGCTCTAAGCATTATAAATAGTACTCACTTGCCACATCGCTTCCCTTCAACATTTTCTTTACAGTGACAAGAACCTGTGATAGGGTCACAATTCGGTACATTGCCATAGCTACCAGCTTTGTTACATTGACAAGGTTTACAACCCAATGAACTAAAATCATAATAATTAGTGTCACAGCGATCACATTTATCTCCAACAACTCCAGGTTTACATTGACAACGACCTTCGCTATTACACTGCAGATTTCGTGAACCTGTAAAAAATATTCATGGTTTACATTAAGAAAGCTACGACACATTATATAAACAATGTCATTAACTACTTTCTTAAATGATAGATTCCAAACATTACAAAATTTAAAACATACCTATTTCATTACAGTTGCATGCTACACAATAATTATCTTCACGCTGATAATAGTTCTCTTTACAACGTTCACAATTGGGGCCATCTCTATTTCCAGTGCAATCTAAGCAGTGACCTCCATGCCCAGTTGTTTCATACAAGTGTTTGTCAAAATAGCAACGGGTGGAAAATGAATTGCAGTTGCATGCTGAAAAAGTGAAATAAAGTACAGTGATATAAGTAACGACAGTACAAGGTTTACTTACAAGCTTAGACATTTAAGTTATCCTAGGAATGGGTAAGCATACAGGCAAAATGTTTTGGTTAGTTTTGAATTTGAAATTACTCTAAAAGTTTTCCTATTTTTTTAAATAAAATAATTTAAAAATTAATGACAATATTATAGAACTTAAGATATATTGAATATACTGTCAATTCCTTTACAATCAGTGTATTAAGTAGCAAGAAATTGATAAAAATCCAAGTACATTTCACTAAATTTTTCTGAAGAGCCGTTTTAAGATTTTGTATGTAGTGACTATGAAATGGGCTAGTATGGAATGAGTTTGTTGCAAGCTAATAGAGTGGAATATTTACAATTTTGTTTCAGGAACATATGTAGACACAACACAATGAAACAAAAATCTCATTTTGTTACAAAATTGGACTTACAACAGTCTGGACCTCAGCCGTTGACTTTCTATTTCAAAACTCATGGCTGATTTAAAAGTTGCATGGAATAAATTTTGGATAACTTGCACAAGCTTACAAGTTGATGATAGCCTATTTTCAGAATATATCAGCAAACACTTTTCAATGCTAACTCCGGCAAGACTTCAGTATGGGAGCCTTTTTTCAAGATGTATTAATGTCAAAACATGTATATTCTGAAATAGGTACTCATTTGGATGTGATGCACACACATAGATAGGCATACACAATGGCCCCATTAGGAATTTTTGTAGAGTTGACTTTATTAATGGTGTATACAATATTTTATAATTTTTTTTACTGAAAATATATCTATATAAACATATATTTAATAACACGTACATCATTTTCATACTTTATACTCTCTAGTATATTAGTAAATATAGAGTGTTTAGGGGTATAGAGAAAGTTGTGCACAGCTTTTAGGGGGTGGGGTGTCTCTCTGTTCATCTGTTTGATCTGGCCAATCTCAAGACACTGCGAATTTGAAACAGATCTCTTAACTTTTCGTGGTACTTATCATGAAAACCCTAGGACATTTTCAATTTCTTTTTCAAAATAGGCTCTAGTTTTCTTGAAGTTCTTTTAATAAATTGAGCAAGATGCACTTATAAATATGGTATAGATTTGATTTTAATTAAAACCTCTAATTTTTTGAAAACTGCAATTCTCTGTTCAACCCTCAAAACTGCCCAACAAGAACACAAACTTTTTTTTCTGAATTAAATAATTTTTTTAAAAATTTGATGTTTAAATATGTCGGCATTGTTTCCTTTTAAAATATAAGTTTTCTTGTAAATATGAGTCAAATCATAACAATTTTCTAAAAATACCTAAATAAAATTTTCTCAAAAACGGCTGCACATTTTGTTCTTTACACGTTTTGTTTCAATAAAGGTAAATGTGCTTATTAATAGGTCTCATTTTTACTAAAAGATCTGAAATATCGAAAATTGAAAAAGTTCAATATTTTTCGAACCTGTCTCACACAATTGAAGCTGAGAATTTTTACTTCCTAAATTATGCAGAATAAGGTTATATCATGTTGCAAACAATCAATATCAGGATATCAAAAATACCCGAAAATGTGCATTTCGAACAAAACTTTGCTCTTTTCAAAACTTCTGTCCGTTCGTCCATCTGTGAACAAGCGCCTAAAACTTACACACCGATCTGACTTAACACGCGGCCCGGTAAATTTCAAGGGGGCCTATTTTTCGGGGTACTTTCCATGAAGTCCCAAGGATATTTTCAATTTTTCGCAAATCCGGCTACACATTTCTTTTCCTTGAATGGTGCAAAGCACGCTCATAATAACGGCACGTGTCCAAATTTCTTACAAAACGTCTTATAATTCGAAAATTGCAGAAGTTCATCACTATTCGCCCTGACTACATTAATGAAGGGGGAGTTTTTCGTAATGACATAGTGGCTTCAAAATTAGATCTTTAAATAATGTGTTATAAGTCTACAATTCTTTGAAATTTGGAGAAATGAGTGAACATTTATTTTTGAGTGTAAACGTGACAAAAATACTGGTGCAGCCGATTTTCTCCAAAATTAATACTCTCCAATCGATTTAAAATGACTCGAGGCCCTCGGAGTTTGAAACGGATATTTTGATTTTTGAGAGATACTTTACATTTTCGAAGTTTTCTACAACTACAATATTGAAGATGGACTTTTTCAAATATGAAATCTGTTCTCTAAAGGCAGATCTTGAAATGAAGGTCAGTACAATTTTGCTAAAATATGAATAGATTTGCGTAAAATTTGTGATGCTAGTCGTCTTTTCCAGCAAACTCTTTGTGTTTTCGAAAACTACAAAACTGAAGATAGAGTTTTTTGCGTTAAATAAAACCAGTTTTTTAAAAAGGTAATGAACAATCGTACGCCTTCGTAATCATAATCCTTCGTACGCCTTCATTCGGAGGGGAAGTAAAGCCGGCTGTCCCATGTTCGTAGATTTACTTGCATGTAAAAGATCCTCAAGCCTAAATGACGCATCTGAGCTAAGTTCAAATCGCATGTTTCTCGCCCAAGAAATACCTCCTTTCTCTCCTAGTTGGTGAAAGGAGCGTAGTAAATTTGCGTGGTCAGACGGAAGAGCGGGCCTGATGGCCCGAGTCTCGCCACGTAAAATAAGGCAAATTCAATTCAACAATTTTTTAAAACACTTGTAGTTTTTGTGTAATTTTTGCTTAAAATGTAGGTAACTAAAAAAACGAACTAAAAAACGCTCAAAATATTTTCTTCAATTTTTTTTTTCACGGATAGAACAAGGAACGCTTAAAAGAATGACGTAGGTCTCATTTTAGTGGACTCTGAATTTTCGAAAATTGCAAATTTAGGAACAATGCGAGAATCGATGTGCTGTTGGAGCACCAGTAGTTTTCTGCGTCTTTCTACAACTACAATACTGAAGATAGAAAGGTTTTCCTTAATGAAACCCGCCCTTCAAAACAACTTGAAATAAAGTCATGTATAATTTTGCAGTGCCTCTAACCGAGAGTTCGAGTCCCGACGGTGGCAGGATTTTCGTCAATATCTTCACAGATAGAATACAGCCGCTGTCTGGGGGAGAAATTAGTGGCCGGCTGCTCGGCAACTCTGATCGGTAGTCTTCCGTAGTTCCTCCGATCAACACCAGGCGAATGCCGTAGTAGTACCCTAATAAACGGGCCATGAATCGCGCGCGATTTTTCCTTCCTCTTCCTTTCATCACCCCCTTACTAGCGCGCGCGCGCACACACACACACACACACACACACACACACACTCACATGCACTATCCAACCATACAAGTCGGGAGCTTAGAGCTTGTCCCGGCTGGGGCGGTACCCCGCTGGTTAGAGACTCTTTATTGGGAAAATCCCTGCAAGGCGACGTAGGTAGGTACCGGATCTCACCAGTCAGCGGGAGATCACCGCCATCTCCCGCGATAAAAAACATGCACGACAGTTACGGGACCTTAGCGCCCGTAATCTCTAATCAATCAATCAATATTATGAGTACTTCCGCGTAATTTTGTGTGAAATTCAGGCAATTTTTAAACAAATATTTGGTCAAAAACTCCTCCAAATTTTGTCTTTAAATTTCCTCCTCGAATACATCAAAGGTCGGTAAAAAAGTGGAGCTGGTTCGATTTCCGGCCAACACATTTTCGCAAATTGGAAAAAAAGTACTTTGCAAAATGAAATAATTTTTGAAAATGGAGATTTCTGTCTTAAAATTATTATATTGTAAAAAAATCTGATCTTTTTTATAAAAAAATGGGTTATATACAATTTTTTGGACAAACGAGGATTTTCGCGTAATTTCTGCTTGATGGTAATGCAATTTATAAAAGAATGAAAACTGTTACAACTTTTTCTTTATTTTTTTAAGGACAGAGCAAAGGACACTTAAAAATTGCGCAGGTCTCATTTTCGTGAACTCTCTGAAAATTGCAAAAGTTAGAAACAATGCGGAAAGTATGTGTTGATGTAGAAAATCTAGTTGAGATTTTTTATACATTCCCATTACTTCAACCGAAAGTTATATGACTACTACTTGTATTTGAAAAAAAATGTACATGACCTAATTTAAAGATACTTTTTGGAACATTTCTTTCGGGGGGATCTGACATCAATGTTGTGAGATAAACTGAATGAACCTTGTGGATATTTTGAAAATTTCGAAAATACACACTACCCCGACAATTAAACTTGTGCCATGATTTTAAGAGTCTCTAAAACATGTGCCATTTTTGAGAAAATGGTCAACAACGCTCGTATTCATAATGCGTTTATTCACAATTCAACTCCCAGTATGTCCTATGGTACAAGAGAGAGGGTAGAAAGTTCGGTGCTCAAGAACGTGCTTCTAATGATATTACAGGTTTCACGTCATTTGATTGGCTCTGATCGTCGAGAATGTAAATCATATTCTGCAATTTTCTTCACTTCTAGCATAATTAAGTAAATTTTACGCACTTTACACGTCATGCCACAATTAATGGCAACGCCAACTTTTTATACAAGTGTTTTACCGTTGACAACCTGACAGTGAATCGACGTAAGTGTTAAGAAGTTTTTGTACCCGCAATATTGGATGCACCTATCAGTACTTCAGAATACAATTCGTTGAATTTTTAATCATTTGGTAGATTTTTCACTTTTCAGAAAAGTAGGATGTTTATATTGAAATTCAAGCTACATATAAAGTATATAAAAAGCGATTGATGAAACATAATAAAAATATAATTTCATGGTGTTCAATGTATTTGTGATAAATGGACTCCAAATGTTTTATTATAGTTCTTGAAAACGGAACTACTTCTGTCAGTCGTATTTACAGTCGAAATGAATGGTTTTCTTCAGTGGAGCAAGTTTGAGAAACAAGTATTCTTTTAAGGCGAATTTAATGCAAAAATACTTTCTAGCGAATACACTTTACCTAAAAACAAATGATCTGAGTGAGCACTAAATCCGCAACCGCATCTTCCACTTTTTCGCA